ATTAAGTTAACTATATTAAACTATATAAATATAAAAAGCATACAGAAACATTTTTGCCGTCTATAATTGAGAATGCCTGGATCTTTGAGTTTTAATAGACTAATAAATCACGTGCGTGCACTCTGTGTGTGATCTGGTGATATAGCCTACTTGATAATGTCAGATCGCACATCATTACAACAACACTTGCCATATTATCACAGAAGATATACTGTATATCGCACACCCCAGACTTGACTTGAGAGGAAAACGAATCATCCGCGGTTGTGTGCGCACTTGTTTGCAGATGAGCAAAGGTGTTTTAGGAGTCTAACTTGCAGACGGCAGACCACAGATTCGTCAAACCTGCTTTCCTGCAGTCTGTGTGCTTCTGACTTCTGACTATTTTGTAGTAAGTAACGAATATGCTTCGGGGAAATGTATCGGAGTAAAAGTATACATTTTAATTAGGAAATGTAGTGGAGTAAAAGTAAAAGTTGGCTGAAATATAAAAACTCAAGTAAAGTACAGATACTCCCAAAAATACTTAAGTACTGTAACGAAGTAGTATTACTTTGTTACATTACACCACTGAAATACACTCATGCTTCAACTAATGAAGGAAACTCAAGATAAGTCTGACTCCAACCACAACCCCAACATTCATAAACACATTGGCAAAAATCTAAAGTATAATTATGATGAAAAATTAAAAAATAAATTTGACCTCCAAACCAAACTCCAGTGTTATTCGGCCCTAAATAGAACCACCAAATTGGCAAATTACATATCAAACAATTAAAAGAAAGACAAATCCTTTCAAAATATCGACTCCACAACCACAACATAGAAATAGAGAAAGGAAGATATAAAAATCCTGGATACCTAGAGAACAGCGACTATGCAAGCACTGTGACTTAAATCAAATAGAGGATGAGAAACACTTTCTTCTTGTCTGCCCCAAATACACCACTACAAGACAAATATTCTTCCACAATTTGAAGCACTGAATGACTCTGAGAAACTCTACTATATACTTGGAGAGGACGACATGGCAGTCAAAATATGTATACATCTCCCTTCAGTTTGTGATTGTAGCTCCATGTAGCTTTGCTTTTCTGTTGATCTAACTATCACTCTCTATTGTTTAAAGTGACAACATTCATAAACACATTGGCAAAAATCTAAAGTATAATTATGATGAAAAATTAAAAAATTAATTTGACCTCCAAACCAAACTCCAGTGTTATTCGGCCCTAAATAGAACCACCAAATTGGCAAATTACATATCAAACAATTAAAAGAAAGACAAATCCTTTCAAAATATCGACTCCACGACCACAACATAGAAATAGAGAAAGGAAGATATAAAAATCCTGGATACCTAGAGAACAGCGACTATGCAAGCACTGTGACTTAAATAAAATAGAGGATGAGAAACACTTTCTTCTTGTCTGCCCCAAATACACCACTACAAGACAAATATTCTTCCACAATTTGAAGCACTGAATGACTCTGAGAAACTCTACTATATACTTGGAGAGGACGACATGGCAGTCAAAATATGTATACATCTCCCTTCAGTTTGTGATTGTAGCTCCATGTAGCTTTGCTTTTCTGTTGATCTAACTATCACTCTCTATTGTTTAAAGTGATAAAATATCAACTTAATTCCCACTATTTATCCGATATTATCTATCAAACTAATCTGACTAATTTGTTTGTTCGTTTTAAATGTTAAATCGTGAGTGCAGCGCATTAGCATTCATTAGCCGGTTAGCTTGTCATTCACATTTCCATTCACATTTCTATTTGCGTCTGTTACCGTTTTCTGTTTTTCTCTCGCATCCGTTTCTTTTCTCTCTCGGTCCGTTTTTGCACGAGTTCATCAAACAACTGTGGTAAGTCAGAATCATTCAGCAATCACGGTGAGTAATGGCTTCTTCTCCTGCTATTGTTGTTTGCACCGCTTGCCACATGTATAGTTTATCTCTCTCTGTCAGCAGCGAGGGATTCACATGTGATAAATGCAGGGAAATAGTTAGGCTGACAGAGAAGATTTCAGAATTAGAGACACGCATCCAAACTTTAATTGAGGACAGTAAGAATGTGAGGGCTGTAGATACGGCTTTGGATGTGACTAGATCAGGGAGTCCTGTACATTGTTCGGTTCCGGTGTAATAATTTACTTAGTTGTAAGGGAATTAATCATTATTAATTCATTCAGGTTTATTTCTAGCTCAGGTTTTAAAAGAACTCGATCTGAGAATTTGAGGTCCACCTGATCAACGATGTAGCAAGTACATCGGGTGTTATGAGAAGTGTTCCCGGTTCCGGTTGTCCTAGTTAATGCAGCCTAACAATCCTTAGTGAAGCTGTGGAATTTAGTTATTAAGAAATACATGCTTGAACTTTTCAGTTTCTAAGCTATTTTATTGAGAAATCACAGAACAGTGTTGACAATACATTTCCGCGCTGAATGATTCTGTGCGCGTGATGTACGAGCTACTGTCTGTAGCCTATGTGTGTGCGTTACAGTGCAGCAGCGCATTAGATCAGAACGGCAATTAACTTACCTGTACAATAAGCTGTTTAAAACATGCATTCTCCCGTTCAATTTCGAGCATCCAGTAATATAATCACACATGTCTTGTGGAGCGCTTTCAGAGTATGCATTTATTTGTCATTTGAACTGTTTGGAAACAGAGAGTAAATGTGGAAGTCCTTCAAAGATTTCTTATCCTGTTGCGTCCTCTATAGGACCAGCGACTAGTCGACGTCAAGCTCAAAGCGTCATGGCAGAGCATTGAAGTCGACCAGTCGGTGCAACCCCTAGTGTGTTCATTTGCTTTATTTTACATATAGGCTTACATTCCTTTACAGACACGTCAAAGGAAAATAGTAAGTAAAGCAAATATAAATAAATGAAAAGTTAAACATAAACCGAAGATATTTGGAGAAATGTCTGTGTCAATGGGGTTCAATGATGTTTGGATCTCAATTGTTCAAAACATCAACTTTCATGTTCCACAGAAGAAAGAAAGTCATAGAGGATTGTAATGACATGATGGAGACTAAATGATGACAGAACTGTGATTTCTGGCTGAACCATTGACTCACAGCAAAAGAAGAAGACTGTAAAAACTGTTCCAGAGACAGAGACGATAAAGTTATAAGGCTTTAAACGTTTTTCCTCTTGAACGGTAGAATGAGGAACAACAAGTCATAGTTTGGCCAACAACGTGTGTGAGAGACAGACCGATTTGAACCATCACCGTGTGTGTTTAAGTGTGTGTGCATGTGTGAACATGTGAGCTTAAATATGGGAGTGTCCAAAACATTCCCATCCGGATTTCAACACAAACGCTCAATAAGCAAGATGCATATCAAAACACACACTCTCTCTCTCTCTCACACACACACACACACATACACACACACATCCACCTTCTGTGTGTGTGTGTGTGTAACACTGGAATAAAGATCATGATGGATTAAACACACAGTTGTTGTAAGACTGTTGTTCTTGCACAAAGACGTTAGTGTGTGTGTGTGTTCAGGTGAGGCTGTAACTGTCCTGCAGGTGAATTCTGGTTGAACAACATTTCTAGCTTCTCTCTTCTTCTTCTCATTAGGGTGTGTGTGTGTGTCACACAGGGTGTGTTTGTGTTTGTTTCCTCACTGAGAGTCCAACACTAAACTCACAGCAACACATTTCACAAAAACCCACAGCAAAGACTGAACACAGCAGGAATAAACCAAGCACGTATTCGTCATTATGTGATGCGTTCGCTGAAGTGTTTGCTGCTAAAAAACCCAAACGTATCCAGCAGCTTTAACTTTCAGACAAATCTGAAGCACTTTTACAGCTGTTTATCTGAACCAAACTGAACTTCGGCATTGAGAGACTCTCGTCAGAATAATGTCCACCAATGAAGGATCTAGACGTAATGCAGGACAGTCTGAGGACAATTCAGTCCTCGTGGGAGAATAAAAGAGAAGTGAGGAGCAAATATCTGCCAGTGGGGTCAGAAATATCATCGTGCTTTCCCTTCGAAGTAAGCTTATGTTTTGGGCCCCAGTGGTGAGCGCACTCGGTCTCGATCATTTTCTCAGAAAAGCAGCTAAACAGTTGCATGTGCCATTCCAGTGACGTCATGAATCATGGCGGCCTTTCGCTGGTCTCACCTTCTTCAGCTGGAACTGATTGAGATCCAGCCAATGAGGATCCAACTCTCTGGGAGTCTGCGAGTGTGTGTACTTGCTTTGGACCAAATGTCCTCACTTCTATTGTGAAACACCTTCTCATCTGACTGCTCCTCACTGGTTAAAGAGGATAAGAAATCAGCCTGCAGATGTGTTTGATGTAATTCTACAGTTAAATATCATTAACCTGATAGAAAGTGTGTTTGTGTGTGTGTGTGATTTGAGCGATGGTCTGTCAGAGGGTGTGGAGCGTCTGTATTCACAGAGTGTTTACCCATGAATCACATTGTTTGGAGGGAAGAGAGTGTGTGTGTGTGTGTGTGTGTGTGTGTGTGTGTGTGTGGTAAAGCTATCTTTCACAGAGCCGGAGGGAAAAGGGCTTGTCAGGACCTTCCCAAACGCCACACCCTTTTACAGACAAGAGCGAGACACTGCAGGAATGAGAGTGAGGGGCGGGGCTAGGGATTTGAGCGATGGTCTGTCAGAGGGTGTGGAGCGTCTGTATTCACAGAGTGTTTACCCATGAATCACATTGTTTGGAGGGAAGAGAGTGTGTGTGTGTGTGTGTGTGTGTGTGAGCCAACAAACGGTAAAGCTATCTTTCACAGAGCCGGAGGGAAAAGGGCTTGTCAGGACCTTCCCAAACGCCACACCCTTTTACAGACAAGAGCGAGACACTGCAGGAATGAGAGTGAGGGGCGGGGCTAGGGGCGGGTCTGGGGGCGGAGCCATTGGAGAGCAGCTGCACTGATAGCTCAGTGTAAAGATCTTCAGTCACACACACATCACATCTGGAAGTGTGAAGCTGCTCTCAT